TTTAAACTGAAAGACAGGCAACCTGAGGGTAAATTTCGTTTAAACTGAAAGTCAGGAAGTCTGACTACTGGCCCAGGCAGCCAGTAGAGAAACAAACATCTACACTCCCCCTGTGGTTTCCTGCTGTCATCTGGCCATACCTCCTTTCTGTTCCCCTCACCACAATGTCCTGGCCTCACTTGTTCTGCCAGGCCCACAGGGCCTTTGCACCTGCTGTCTGCTCGGCCCACATCCATGAAGCCCCAACCAGGAAGTTTTGCAAGGAGCCTTGCAGAATTTAAAGTCTTCCTCATTCTGCAAAATCCAGTTTCTCTTAACAGTGGCCTATTCCAGGGGTCCCTGAAAACTACTTCTTCCTATCACGAATCAGCCCCTCATCCTGCACCAAACTGGGGCTGGCACCTTCTCCAACAAATAGCCCAACAACCACAGGCCTGAAGCTTGAGCTGAGGCCTCTCTATCCCCCAGTGGATATGGTTGTGTGTTTCCCATTGGTGCCTCCCCTGAGCAGAACTGAGCTGAGCTGAGACTTTGGTGGGGCCCAGGATGGCTCAGGTCACATCTGTTGACCTGCACTAAATGAGCAAGGCAGGGAATATATGTGCTCAGGAACAGCCACAAGATGCTCAAAAGCAAGTTTTAATTGTGCTGCCAAAGAGCAATCGTTGCTATAGGAATCCAAACTTAAGCTTTTCCTTAGCATATTTGGACAGGAAAATGAATCCACTCATGGTACAATGGTTTCATTTTCTGAGCCAAAATGTCTTCAGATTACAGTCCCTGAAAGCCACTCTTTCCTAACACAAGCTAAACCGCAACCAGGAAATTTTGCAAGGAGCCTTGCAGAATTCAAAGCCTTCGTCATTCTGCAAAAGTCCAGTTTCTCCTAACAGAGGCACAAAAGTCAGAGTGTGAAAGCTCCCCTCCTGCAAGTCTCCAGACCCAACTGTGGGTGACAAACAGACCCACAGACCAACAAGGAACCAATCCTGTTGAACCTTGTGTCAGGATTTCCCCACAATGCTGCAACTGCCCTTCCTAGACAAGACCCCCCACCCTGTGCCCACCCTTGGGCTCCAAAGCAGAATGACCCAGGAGGAAAAGAGGGACAAGGCTTGGCCTCTGTGGGCCACCTACTGTTGGAACAGCCTCAGGTCATGCCTGAAGCCCTTGGAGTGTGTTCATAGAGATCCACTGCTGGTTCATTTTGTCATCTGTTGTTTCATCATGGCCACTGACTGGAGTCCAAGTCTGTCTTACTGAGCTGTCCCTCCAGTTCCCTGCCAAGGAGGAAATATTGTATAAAGTAGCATTGGCCCTCAGTGGAGACCACATTCTGGGTTGATGTTGATGTTGATGTTGCTTGACTAGTTACTATGGAAGTCAGTCTCCAACTTCCTGGAGAGACTTGGGCCCCACACAGAAAATATGAGCCCCCTTCCTTTGGTCAGCTCTGCCTGATTACCTCATTCAAGAAGGGAGAGTGGTTGACTGGGAAACCTGTTCCTAGCCACATAGATGGGCTCCTCTTCCCTTGGCCACCTGGGTACCTGCCATCTACAAATCCAGCCAGACTTGTGTTGGTGAACTGATGTGGTTAGGGGCAGAGCCACATCAGGGTGAACATTGTCTGAGCACCTGGCTTGGCTCTGCTTCCAGACTTGTGGGTGAAGGAAGTTTTAGGAGCCCATGGCACTGGCCCCATCCCTGAGGCCCCCTCCCTGCCTCAGGAACTTCCCCTGCAACTTTGGCTGGGACTAGGTCCCCACTAGTTGCAGGGGCTGAGTCCTTGGTCATATGCCCAGCCCATCAGTATTTCCTGCATCCCACAGTCTCCTGCATTCTCAGCCACCATGCAGTACTGCCCATTGGGTACCATGGTCCCACCCAAAGTCCCTAAGAGAGCTGTAGGTCAGGTCCAGCTGGTCACCAACCACTCCCACCATCTTGACCCTCAGATTCCTCACTTGAAAACTAGAGGTCTAGACACCCTGAAGGAGGTTACAGGATCACAGTAGGCCCTGAAGATGGCCCCTTTCTCCTCTCTTGCCCTTTTCCCTGCCTCAGGCCCCTTTCTCCTCCCTGCACACCCCTCCCCCCAGCAGTCCTGCGAGGTGATCATGAGGGAGCGGCCTTGTGTGGGGTGAAGAGCTCCTGGGGCTAGATGAGAGTAGTACTCAGAGAAGACTTGGCTCCAGGGGGATAAGGACAGCAGTTGTATTGGATAAGTGTCCATTCATATGACTTCATTTAATCTTATTCAACTTTTTAAATGCTTTGCCTCCAAATACATTCTGAGGAACTGGGAATTAGGGTTTCAACACATGAATTTGGGGTGTGGGGGAGACACAATTCAGCCCATAACAATCTCAAGAAACCCTCCTACCTCAAGAAACTCCACTCAGGGTGGCTCCTGATTCCTTTCTTCTCCCTCCCCCTTACACAAACTCTTCTTTTTTTTTTTGCTGTTTTTCATTAAAACAAATCCCAGACCTTGTTTCACATTGCTCAGAAATACTAGTGATAAGCATATTTTAGTTGTTTTTCTTTTCAACAGAAAAAAATCAATGTCTCTGGGCCTCAGTTTCCCTGTTTGTGCCCAGACAGGCTGAAATAAATATGTCCAGGGGCTGTTCTAGTTCTGACATGGTGGGGAATTTGAGAAGCAGCTTTAGCATTTTCTACACTCTTCTTAATGATGTTGTTTTCAGGGTCAGCAGTAAGGAGCCTTGAGGGACACCTGTCCTCTTCCCTGGAGAGGAAGTGCTGGGTCTGGGAGAGGGGGTTTCAAAAGCACAGGAAACTATTTCATTGCACAATGAGCCTTTCTGGGGCTACAGGCCAGTGTAACATGAAGGGGTAAATTAGGAACTTTCCACCACCAGTCAGTACTTCGTGTACTGGAATGAGGCTTAGGGCCCAGTGGGCAGTTGCTTACTCCACTTTACAGACAAGGAAACTGAGGCTCAGCAAGGAACAGTGACTCATCCAGGGGCTCCTGGCTGATGAAGGGCAGAGCAGGAGCCTGAGGTCTGTCTCTGGACTTGCCCTGCTCATAGACAGGGAAACCAAGCCCCAGCCGGGTGGCCCTGGTAAGCCCTCCACACCACTGTCATGCGTTCAGGCACTGTTGCAGGAGACAGAGCAGGGATTCAACATACTTGGTTCCCTCACACGCCATCCCAGATACTGCCTCATGGTAGGAACATGCAAATATGTGGGTATACATGTGTGTTTATGCATGTGGCATGCCTGGCACAGTATGGAAATCCCCAAGTGCCCAACATAGAACAGATGTGTGGCTGAATGAAGGACGGTGCTCAAGATCTCAGAGCCCTCATGGTCTTGGGGCCTCAGGTGGGATACCCAGTCCCTGGCACCATGCACTATCTATACAGACTCCGGCTTATCCCAGTATACATTGTGTTCCTCGGCCAGACAAAGTCATGGCCAAGAGGTTCCAAATATAAAGTACTTGATCCACACGGAATCTTACTCCATGTGATGTCATACACTATGCGTCATAGTGATGCCCTTGGGAGCAGGGTGGGAAGTGGGACGTGTATGTCTTGACTGTTACCTCAGTCCCCTCTGCATCCCGTCATCCATTTTTGCCCTGAGTGTGCATCAGTTCCCAAATCATGAGCTGCCTCTCCACACCCTAGTGGAATAGGGACACACACACTCTATAGCTGACCGTAACTATTTGCCTCCTTGTAGTTCGAGACCAGGAAACTATCCAAGACCAGACGTGACAAGGAGAAGCAGAGCTGTAAGAGCTGCGGTGAGACCTTCAACTCCATCACCAAGAGGAGACATCACTGCAAGCTGTGTGGGGCGGTGAGTGGTGGCAAGAGGGAAGGAACAGCTCAGACAAGGGGCAGACAGTCACCTGCTGGGTCCTCACAATTCCTTATGGGTGGGCAGCAGCCAGTGGGCGGCAGGCCTTGCTGAAGGCTGTCCATGAACTGCACAGAGATGCCTACAGATGCTGTCTCTTGGACACAGATGCCCTTGGGCGTGAAACTGGTCCTTTGACGTGGGAGTTAGTTACATTTCTCTGGTCAGCTCTGGTCAGCTTTTTCCTTGCAGTTGAAAAAGTGTTGGGTTTGGAACCACAGAGGCCTGAGCCAGGTATCCTCAAGAACAAAGGAATAATAGTGTTCCTTGTGTAAGGCATGAAAGAAGCAGAGGAAGAGGAAGGGTGTGACCCGGTGGGAGCGCTGTCCTGCTGGCTTTTGCCCCAGCACTCCAGGGGTGATGAAATTCTGGGAGGCCCACGTGATGAGGCTCCCCTTGTGACTGGTACCCCAACCTCGTGCCATCTCCATTCCTTCTTGCTCAGTCCTGAAGCCCTCGCTCCTGAGACTGGGCTGCTGAGTCATTGCTTAATAGTGAACATAGAAGTATTCAAGTGGTTTTGGGTTTAGATATTAAAACTGAGAGAGAGAGATCATCACAGAACTGCCTTGTAGCTCTTTTCCAACTGCCGGTGCCTGGTGTTCCTTGTTGTGAGGCTGGCAGGGAGAAATAAATGGATGAGTCCTTGGTTAGATGGATGGATGGATGCATGGATGGATGCATGAATGGATGACGGATGGGTGGTTGGATGCATGGATGGATGCATGAATGGATGACGGATGGATGGATGGATGCATGCATGGATGGTGGGTAGATGAGTGGTGGATGGGTGGTTGGATGAATAGGTGATGAGTGGATCAATGAGAGATTGGATGAATGAATAGGTGGATGGTAGATGGATGGACGGATGGGTGGGTGGTTGGATGGATTGATGAGTGGATGGCTGGGTAGATGGAAGAGGGGCGGGGAACACAGAATGGCCTATAGGTTGTGGCCGAGGCTCAAGATGTGCGTGGGCTCAGGGAAGCCAGCAAGTCCAGATGGAAGATGGCACTTCTGGAAGATTGCACAGTGGGTTCCAGTGATTGCATCTGGGTTGGATGGGGTGGAGACAGTTAGAGGTTGACATCTCTAATAAGGAAGGAATAGAAGAGGATTAAGAAGTGTGAAGGCTGCAGTGGAAGTAGGGAAGGAACCCAGGTAGCCGATCACTGTGGAGAGGGAGTGGGCCAGCATGTGCCAGAGCACTATCCAGGGTGGGAGGGCTCAGTTGGCCATGCGTGGGAATGGTGACATTGGGGCACCATGGTAATCTCTGGAATACTAGTATAGAGAGGGTCGTGAGACAGTCCAGAGAGAGGTGACCATCTCAAGAGAGGAGGTTCATGTTGCAAGGACTTGCAGGTGCTAAAACCAAAGTCATCCCTGAATTAGACCATAAGGTGGCTAAGATTGGTATAACCCAGGCAGTGTCAGCCAAGGGTGTGCAAAAGCCCAGGACAGAGAAAAGAAGAGGATATGGATGGTGCTGGGACCAGAGGAGAGACTTGTGTGCTAGGAGAAGGATCCAGCAGAGGAAGAAAGACTGAAGCACAAGAGTCAGATAGCCAAGGATGAGGCCTGAGGAAGAGGGTGCTGCCAGTGGGTGGGTTGAGGTCCAGTGCAGTGAGAGCTCTAGAAGAGTCACCAAGGGGCATCCTTTGGCTTAATTCCCACGTACCACCACCTGTGCAAGTAATATTGCACCATATAGATAGACCATGTTTTCCTTATTCCTGTATCAATGGGTGTGTGGGTTGCCACCACCTCTTGGCTATTGTGAATAGTGCTACATTGGACATGGCTGTACAGATGTTTCTTCAAGGTCCTGCTTTAGGTTCTTTTCAGTAAATGCCCAGAAGTGGCATTGCTGGACCATGTGGTAATTCTGTGTTTAACTGTTTGAGAAACCGCCATACTGTCTCCCACGGCAGCTGCATCAACCCACCTACAGCACAACAGTTGTTATTTTCTGTTTGGGGATAATAGCCATCCTGAGGGGTGTGAAGTGGCTTCTCCTTATGGTTTTGATTTGCATGTGCCTGATGGCCAGTGATGTGGGGTTTATCCAGGTAAGTGGTGGCTCTGCCCACTCTTACTTTACTTGCACTCAGGTCCTTGGACTCTGAGTCATCTAAATAAGGAAGGCAGGTCCTGGCTGCCCAATGGGACCAGTCTGGCCACCTGCCCCACCCCAGGACAAGACTTTGCCCTTCCCCACAATGTTAAGTGTCTCCTCTTCCTCTGCCTGGGATGTGGGCTCACAGATCTCCTTTGTCTTGCAGGTCATCTGTGGGAAATGCTCCGAGTTCAAGGCCGAGAACAGCAGGCAGAGCCGTGTCTGCAGAGGGTGTTTCCTGACAGAACCTGTCAGCCCCAGCTCTGATGGTCCCACTGAGCCCAAGCAGAGCACAGAGGTGGGTGGCCCTGGTTCCTGGGACCAGGACAAATGGATCCACACACCCTGGAACCATGGAGAGTCACTCAGAGCAATCAGCAATCAAATGCACATCGGTTTTCTCAGGACTGGTCAGGGCCAGCTATGGGAACAAGTGTCAGCTCCACTCCTCACCACCCTGATTTGAGGGCATGGCATGGAACTGCCCCCAAATCCAGGCACTGAGGTTCACCTAGTGGCCTGACTCACCTCTACCCCTCAGGGCAGGGCAGGGCCGGGCCCTAGAGTGGGGGCAGTTCCCCTCCCATTTCTCCATAAGGGTGGCCCTGCCTTTCCAGCCCTCCTTCCTAAAGGACATGGTCTCTATTTTATGGCATCACAGGAGATCTGGAAAAAGGAAAACATGTTTTATCAGAAAACCACATTTTCCTCTGTCTCCCTTCAACATATCACAAGGTTCTCATGCCAGTTACAAGTTGGGGTCTCCTGGGAACTTTTCATAATTGTCAGCTTCCCTCCCAAGGGTCCAGTGGGGTGGTCCAGGTGGACTGGGGTCAGTGTGTTCTCAAACCTCCTGACATCCTAGATGGCGACTGTCGGAGAACCCGGACATCAATCTGTCTAGGAAGTCAAGGATGTAAGGTATTAGGACCAGGTGCCCTTGAGGGTGAAGTCCCTGGCCCTGCCCACTTGGCTTCCTCCATTTTCAATACCAATGTGTGTACCAGGCCTGAAGGCTCCAGTGGCACCTGCCCTGAGGGCGGGGTGGGTGGGCTTGGGTCTTGAAGGGGCACTAGATCTTAGCAGGGACAGCTCCAGCAAATGGTGTCAGAACCATGTCCAGATGGCTCAGGGAACTTGCTTCCATAATGGCTGTAAAACACATCAAAAGAGAAGCAGGGTCTGTGTGTGCTGTGTGAGGTTTGTGTGGTGTAGTGTGGGAAGTGTGTGTACTCATGTGTATGTTTGTATGTGGTATATGTGATAGGGAACACACGTGAGTGTGGATTGTGGGGTGTATTTAGTCCTTTGGCCCTGTCACCTACACTCAGACACTTGCTGATGCATTTTCCTCTGGTATTTTGATGGCTCATGGTCTCACTCCCTGAGAGGGCCCAGTCTGCAAATTCTGCCTAACCACATGGTTCTTACGCCCCTCATACTGGCCTCAAGTGACCCCTAGTGCCAGGTGAGGCTGGGCTCAGCCTACGTCCAGGCCTCAACTGTGTCTCTGTGGTCCTTCCCCAGCCTCCTCAGGAGGCTTAGTGACCACTGCAGGCGAGGCCACCCTACCCTGTGTCTCTGTGTTCTCAGAAGCCACCCACTGCGGATTCCCGGCCTAGCCTGCTCTGTGGCCCCCTGCGGCTGTCAAACAATGGTACAGCCTGGAATGAGGTGTGGGCTGCCATCCCTGAATCAGACCCCCAGGTGCTGGACCTTCAGGGAAGCAACCAGGTACGTGTCACCATCCCCATGCTGTGTGATGGCAGTGCCTTCTACTACAACAGCCTAGAGTCTCAGGCCTTCAGCATCCACAGGAGGTCTAGGTCACCCTCCTGGTGCCTACCTACTCCAGCAGTGTGACCCAGCCCTCAGTTTCCCCAGCTGTTCCAAATAACCCTCTGTCCCCCACCCCACTGACAGAAGATGGGCCCCCATTATGCTAGGACCCCAGAGCTAGACAGGGTAGGGGGTACAGAGGCTGGCCCCTCCTTCGCACACATGTTCATCCATTCACCCCTTTGTTCTCTCACAAACCCTAAGTGGATGCAGTTGGGAGCCATAGTACCTGATTGGTGGGCTTGGGAACACTTGCCCTGCCACTCTCAGCCCTGGTTTCTGCCCTCAGTGTCACAGCGACTGTCCTGCCTCACCTCCCCTGGGACTGGGTAGTCCAAGGGAAGGCGTAGGGTCTGGGGGTTCAGTGAGGTGGGAAAAACCCCCTCAACGAGAGCTATGGGTCACCTGTCCTTCTGTTGACAGAGGGCGTGCAGGCATGTCCCCCAGGCCTATCTGGGTTAGCATCTGCCTTACACTGTGTGGGATTGGGCATGGCTTTCGGGGGTTGCTCGCTCTACTGACCCTCTCTCCTTACTGCAGGCTGGTCAGCTGCTATGCACCATCCCTCTCCCTGGCTGCACGGTAAGCATGCTAGACCCGGAGGAGAAGCTAGAGGCAGAGCATGTGTGGAAGCTTCGGCGGGGCCAGCAGACCTGGTACCTGAGTGCCCCCTCCACGGAGCTATGGCAGCGTTGGCTGGAGGCTCTGAGTACTGCCACCCACGGGGACACGGCCCAGGACGGCCCAGGAACCCTGCAGCCCCAGGCCCCAGCAGATACCACCACTCCCTGAGCAGAACTCCCATGGCGCTTTGCACCGCCATGTCAGACCTGTACTCAGGGAGGTGACATGGGAGGCCATGTGAAGGAATGAAGGATTCCTGCGACTGCTGAATATAGGCAGAGTTTGGGGGGCATTTGGCCCTGGAGGGTCCCTCTGCTTTGGAGAGGAGGAAACTGAGGCCTGGAGAGGAGCAGTCACTCAGCAAGTCTTGGGCAAGAGTTCGGCCTCTGTCTTCAGCCCCGGCAGTGTGGCCACAGAAGTGAGCATCGGCTGCTGCCAAAATAAATGTCATCTGAGCAGGCTGTGTGACGGCACGGGCTCTAAAAGACAGACGCTGGGTGGGTGTTTCAGGGACAGCCACAACTGCCTGGTCGGTAGTCACCCCCTGGGTAGCTGACCCTGGCCTCTGCCCATGCTGTGTACCTGTGTGAGCTGGACTGTGACTTGTATTCTGAGCTCCACCTCCCTTCTGTCCTTTCCTGAGGGTCTGCCTCGCAGCCCTGCTGAGTTCCTGTGGAAGGGTCAGTGGGAAGCCTGCCCCATCCAACCTGGACAGGTGGTTCCTGAACAGCCACACTCAGAAACTCTGCAGGAAGCCTGGACCTTGGCCCTGTGTGGCAGTCATGTGAGATTTGCACCCCTTTGCAAGCATGTGCAGTGCTTGTCTGTGTAAATAAAGCCCTACTGTCAGCAAGTGGGCTCAGCCTTAGCACCGTCTACCCCACCCTTTGGCAGGTCCTTCACAGGCGTGTGGAAGGTGGGAGCAAGAGTGACAGAGTTGCACAGGCCACACACCTGGCCTGGTGAGCAGTTCTGCATCCTGGATCCTCTAGGGGGTGGGCAGGCAGCTGGCCACCCGACAGGGCAACGGTGCCAACACCTGAGGTGCTGGAACATCATGAATGTCATAGGATGGGGGTACTGTTTGCACCAGATCTCTAAGGGCCTCTAGGAGAGGTGGGGGTTTTAGGGACTGATGATGGGGGTTCGGCCCATCCTCTAATATCCACATAGCACTCTATGAAACACCTGAGTGGACAAGTAGGGCACCTACTCAGTGGACTGAGTCAGAATCAGAAATGGTTGATTGTCACAGGTGAGGTTGGGGGAGGACAGATGAGGTGAGAGGGTAAAGGTGAGGTGGGGACACAGGTGAGGTGTCAGAACACAGGTTCTGATAAGTGCCAGCTGGGCTGTTCATGGGATGCACCAAAACCACTGCACATGGAGCCCCGCACACACGTGGGCCTCTGCCCTGTGCTGGACCTGCTTCATACTAAGGAAACTGTGGCTCAGGAAAGCAAAGCAGCTGGAGAACTTCACACAGGATGGTGGCCATCTGAGAGGGACGGGCCAGGTCCTTCTGGCTGCTACTTGAACACAGCAAAGCCCTGCAACTTGCTCAGGCTGGAACAGCGGCAGTGATAGAGGCAGCACAGGTGTCACAATGACCTCAGAGAGTTCCTTTCTTGGCTCAGTGCACTGCACGAGGGACTGTGAGCTGAGGAGGACAGGTCTTCACCAGTGACGCAAGTTGCAATGGTCCAGTGGGGCATAGGGAAAGAAAGAAGAAAGGTTTTGTGACCCCCACAGTGGGGGCAGGTGAGCAAAAGCTAGCACTGTGACAATGTGAGGGGTCTCTCAACCCCTCACAGGCCCCCCAGGTGTGGGCCTAAGTACACAGAGCTTCCAGTCTTCATGAGAGATAACAACAAAAAAAAAAAAACCCATGTTCTTGTGAAATATTTATTAAATGTTAGCAGCTGCTGTGGTGTGACATCATGGTGGTCCCAGCCAACTAGGGTCAGGAGGGGGTAAAGAACAGCAGAGGCCCCAGAGGAGACTCTGCTGAGGACAAAGACAAGGTACCAAGAGTGCTTAACTCTGTGTTGCTTCAGGCCTGATCAGGCATGCCCCAGACTCTGATGCACACTATGGGGACCTGCCAGATGCCAGTTGGCCCAGCTCTGAGTTCATGTGGCTTTCACACTGGTCCACAGGCTGCTCTTCCCATTTTTCCCAGAATAGGAAGCTGAGGCTCTGACAGGGGGCAGTAAGGGACCTCTGCCTGCAAACCCATGAGCTACTTCCCTACGGAGTCTGTCCCCAGATGTCCTTTGTTGGACACCCCAGCAAAAGGGCTGCTGAGGAGCCTCCACACCTGTGCATCTGGGCTGCCTGGGCCCCTACCACATAATCTCTTCCTGCCCCACCCTCCCTCTGCCCTCACTACCCAGGCCAGCCATGGTCTACTGCTCATGTGTGGAGCAGTGACACCCCACTGCACACAGGACAGACATTGGCTCTTGGCCTCTTGCCAGTTCTTTCCCCCCCTCCTCCTCCCCAAGGCCAGCCCCATCCTTTACAGGCACAGGAGGCCCCCTGGGCAGGGAAGAAGTGACCCCCAGGAAGGGCTGTGAAAGGCTTCTGGATCTCTGCAGCAACACAGGATCCTAGATGCCCATTGGCTGCAGGAATCAAGGCCTGGGTGGGGCTTTTCTGCATGCTGCACTCCCAGGCTGCTGCCTGCTCAGCCTGTAGTTAGTGGCTCCTGATGTCTGTGGGGCAGAGCTGGAGGACAGCACCATCTGAGCAGAAAAGCTTCACAGGTGTGAGCATGGAGGAGAAAGAAAAGAGACACAGGGAAAGGATTCATTGCAGAGAGATGTGTGTTGTAGATACTGGGCTGCTGACCCCTCTCCTGGCACGCCACCGCCACTAAGCCAGAGTGGAGTACTGGCTGTGTTCCCACAGCCCTGGGGAAGAGGAACCAGCCTCCAAGAGGGCCTGCTGCAGGCTAGGAGCCTCCCAACCACCTGAGAAGAGAGAGGATCATGATTCAGAAGGCATTTTATTGGTAGTTAAAGTGAGGCCCAGAGAGGGAGTACACTTGCTGTAATCACCCAGCGAGTTAGGGGCCAGCCAGGATTCACTTACTCACTGTTCATCCAGTTTGTTCATGAACCAGGGGGAGCAAGTACACTGAATGCTACTTGGGTTCTTGGTATGAGAGGAATTGGATTCCACCTACAGCACATGGTCCTGCCACACTTCCAACCTTATATGCTTGTGCTGCGCAGTTCACTGCTGTCATGCTGCACAGCCCTGAGCACTTTGAGTCCTAATTGTACACATGGAGAAGTGAAGACTGTCTGTGGTCAGGAGGCCCACCTGCCTCACCCGTAGGCCCCAACCCAAGGATACCAAAGACAGCTCGTCTTCAGATGTCTGGTTCCATCCTAGAGACAGGAACACTGAGACCCCGTCAGGCCATTACACTACTAGTACAAAGCACAGGGAAATTTGGAGCTGAGTGGCTCAGACTCCAGCTGTCCTCACCTCCCATATAGGGGCAACAAACCAACACAAAGCCCCAGGCCCCAAAGTCTGGGCCATCAGGCAGCCCTGGCCTCACCCTCTCTGCTACCTGTGCCATCCTCTGAGCTTTGACCTAAAGCATCCACTGCCCCAGGGGCCTCTCTGGACACCCCAGAACCCAATCACCTACTAGCAGCCAGTCTTGGTACTGGGAGTCCAGAGAGAAGGGTTTTCATGCACCGCATGCGCTCGTCCTAGAAATCTAACTAGGGGTGATGGGAGATGGTAGAAAAAACAACAGACAGAAGACAAATCACGCATAAAGCTGGGGCCAGGTAGGCTGGGTGTCAGATGGAGCCACACCAGCAACCTCTATCTCCAGTGAGTTTATTATATACAGTAGCAACATGAGGTGGAGAGGTGATTCTCAGGGGAGGGGGCGTGACATTGTAATCCTCAGGAACAGGAGAAACCTGTGATGGCTTCTCTCTGAATGTAAACATCTTAGGAAAAACAGCTGTACTTCTTCTTGCCCACTTCTGCAGCCGAGGCTGTGCCAATCCAAGCGTGCAATTTATTGGGCATAACTATGCTTGTTCCCTTCTGTGGTTTGGGGCTGTGCCAAACTCAAACACGCAGCTTATTCGATACACCTGTCGACTCCCAACAAAGGGTGGGCTCACCTCTGTCTCTGCAGATGAGCCCCCTGTGGACATCCTTCAGGGACTGGATCCAGAGAGCCCTGGATCCAGCTGGCAGTCACAGTGGCTGCATGGTGATCCCATGGCTTGATCCTTTCAGGTACAGCCCTGAGACACCATCCATGCAGGGTTTCCAGTTGGCAGGACTAGCTGTCTGCATAGTCTGCACCTGGCACTGGATGGGTTGAGTCCAGGCCCATTCACCCTTCTCCTCAGCAACTCCTTCTCTCACTGGGACAAGGCAGCAAGGTAGACCCTGTAGCAGGTGGCTGCTGCCTGTACAATACGTCTCACATGGTTAGCCATGTATCCATGTATCATGGGTGTGGAAGTCTCCAAGCCCATTTAGGGGGAATACTGAGAGGAAAAGGGACACACTGGAGGCTGTAGACTCCTCTTCCAACACCAGGGATCCTCCCATGACTGCAAGGATGTCAGATGAAGCTGAGACTAAAGGTCTGGGTGGCCCAAAGAGGGAGGCAGTGGGGTCAGGGCAGATCTTGGAGAAACACCCAACCCACCTTACATTCTGCACATTCCTGCCTGGCCCTGGGACTCTTCAACCCCATCCACTAACCTCATGGTTTCCTGGGTTTAGTTCCTGCTGCCATGTAGGAGTCCTGACAGTAGAGCCTGCAATCCTCAGTTTTCTTTTTTTTTTTTTTTTGGTGGTACTGGGGATTGAACTCAAGACCTTGTGCTTGCTAGGCAGGTGCTCTACCACATGAACCACGTCCCCCAGCCCTTCTGCAATCCTCAGGAAGGCTGCATCTTAGACACAATGGTGACAGTGTGTGGCTAATGGCAGCCGTGGGTCACTTCCCAGCCTATCAGGTTTCCCTTGAACCCTGAGGGCTCTCATCCTCCTTACTGCTGGGCCACAGTAAATTCTACACTCTGATGTTGCCCTAGGCATGGGCATTCCTGGGGAGTCTAAAGGATAACACTCACCCTCTATGCCTTATCCTCCCCCTCGCCAATGGATGTCCGTGGACAGCAGAATAGGAGAAACCTATGAGAACTTGACATAAGCACAGCTATGTCAAATAATCTGTAGGCTGAGTGGGCACAGCTCCAGCTGCAGAAGGGAGCAAGCACAGCTATGCCCAATAATCTGCAGGTTGAGACAGCACAACCTCAGCCACAGAAGGGGGCGAGGGCAAATGCAGCACAGCTGATTTTCCTAAGATATTTATGTTCAGAGAATAGTGATCGCAGGTTCCTCCTGTTTCCCAACCCCCCCCCACCAGAACTTTTGCTCCACCTCCTTGTTTGCCACTGTACATAATAAACTCTCTGGAGGTGGACAAGGCTGTTGTGTGTCTACATCCGAACACCCGGCCCACCTGACCCCAGCATTCTGCATATTTGTCTTCTGTCTTTTGTCCTTTCTTAATCTCCTGTTGCTCCCAGTAAGGTTTCTAGGACAAGGTCATGAGCAGTCACAAGAGGTGGCACCCAAACAAGGACCTAACTGCAGGGGAACTCAAAGGCTGAGAAGAGGAGACACTCTCCGAGAAGCACGCGTGTAATAGAAAAATGAGTCAGCACACTAATGTATGTGACGTTCAACTCAGAGGCAGGATCGTCAGTGGAATGACTACAAGATGACAATTACCTGGTCACACTGAACAGTCTGTTACCTCTCTGATGCCGTCAGTCAGCAGCCTTGATAAGCAGAGATTTATTAGGCAGACAGTCAAGAATACAGCCCTGCCCCTTTTTAAGAGAGACATGAGGAAGTGGAACATTAAAGTGTATAAAAAGTAAAAAAAAAAAAAAAGAAAGAAAGAAAAATGAGTAAGGAAGAGAAAAATAAATAAGGTGATGGGGAGAGTGAATTGAATACAGTCAGGTGTAAAAACATGGGACAGTACGGGTCAAAGGACACAGAACTCTATATATAGGCTTTAAAAAAGCTATGCTACAGAAAACATGGGACAGTGCAAGTCTAAGGACCGAGACTTTAAGAAGTTATGCTAATGCAGTTTTTAGATTTTTTTTTTAGGTGCATGGTAAACTGTCAAGCTTAATTTTACTGAAAGCACATGATAAAGGGATCTATGGGTATGACACTTAAACAGAAATTTCTAAAATAAGATACTAAGTTTTCACTCATTTTAAACTCAAATCCTTTGTGGATTTCCTTCATGTGATTTTTGATAACATAATATTCCTGAGGAAATCTGAAACCAGTTTTTAGATTTTGCACAGGAATTCAAAGCCTGAGATGAGGAGACAATCTCCAAGAAGTGCACATGTAAATAAAAAAAAGAAGTAAGGTAATAGAGAAAAGAAGTACGATAATAGAGAAGAAGGAAGGTAATAGAAGTAGAAGTAAGGTAATAGATCTATGTTACTTTTGAGTTGTGGTCTATGATTAGAGATTGTTGGGAGCCTACTCACTCACATAAACAAAGATTTTCTTCCTTGGTAGCCGAGCTAGGATGTGTGATTCACCCCTTACAACCAGTCATACAGGATTGTGAGAGGCAGTAACAAGATGCTGTGGACAGTGGAGCTGCTGAGCCCTCAGCTCCACCTTATGAGGATAAGTTTTCACATAAGATTAAAATTCAACTCCTAGACACCATAAACAGCTATAACAAGGTGGCAGGATACAAAAATCAACTTACAAAAATCATTAGCTTTTCTATACACCAACAACAAACAAACTGAGAAAGAATATATGGAAACAATTCCATTTACAATAGCCTCAAAAAAAATCAAATACCTAGGAGTAAACATAACAAAGGATGTGAACTACCTCTACAAGGAGAACTACAAACCCCTGAAGAAAGAGATTGAGGAAGACTACAGAAGATGGAAAGATCTCCTATGTTCATGTATTGGTAAAATCAACATAGTAAAAATGGCTATACTACCAAAAGTAATCTACATGTTTAATGAAATTCCCATCAAAATCCCAGTGATACTCATCACAGAGATTGAAAAATCTACACTAAAGTTCATTTGGAAACACAAGAGACCGCAAATAGCCAAGGCAATGCTCAGCAAAAAGAGCAATGCTGGAGGTATCACAATATCTGACTTCAAACTATATTACAAAGCAATAGCAATAAAAACAGCATGGTACTGGCACAAAAACAGACATGGAGACCAGTGGAACAGAATAGAAGAGAGTATGAATCCACACAACTATACCAACCTCATTTTTGACAAAGGTGCCAAAAAATATACAATGGAGAAAAGACAGCCTCTTCAACAAATGTTGCTGGGAAAAGTGGTTATCTATCCGCAAGAAACTGAAACCAGATCCATGTTTATCACCCTGTACTAGTATCAACTCAAAATGGACCAAAGACCTTAATATCAGACCTGAAATTCTGAAGTAAGTACAGGAAGGAGCAGGAAACACTCTGGAATTAATAGGTATAGGCAAGGACTTCCACAATAGAACCCCAGCAGCCCAGCAACTAAGAGAAAGGATGGACAAATGGGACTTCATAAAATTAAAAAGCTTCTGAACAACAAAAGAAATTGTCTCTAAACTGAAGAGACCACCCACAGAGTGGGAGAAAATATTCACCAGCTACACATCAGACAAAGGACTGATAACCAGAATATACAGGGAACTTAAGAAACTAAACTCTCCCAAAATCAATGAACCAATAAAGAAATTGGCAACTGAACTAAACAGAACTTTCTCAAAAGAAGAAATTCAAATGGCCAAAAAACACATGAAAAAATGCTCACCATCTCTAGCTATAAAGGAAATGCAAATCAAAACAACACTAAGATTCCACCTCACCCCTGTTAGAATGGCCATCATCAAAACACCACCAACAACAGGTGTTGGTGAGGATGTGGACACAAAGGAACCCTCATACACTGCAGGTGGGAATGCAAGCTAGCACAACCACTCTGGAAAAAAACTTGGAGGCTTCTTAAAAATCTAAACATAGACCTGCCATATGGTCCAGCAATCCCACTCCTGGGGATATACCCAAAGGAATGCAACACAGGTTACTCCAAAGGCACCTGCACATCCCTGTTTATTGCAGCACTATTCACAATAGCCAAGTTATGGAAACAACGAAGATGCCTCACTACTGACGAATGGATCAAGAAAATGTGGTATTTATACACAATGAAATTTTACTCAGCCATGAAGAAAAATGAAATCTTATAATTTGCAAGTAAATGGATGGAACTGGAGAACATCATTCTGAGCGAGGTTAGCCAGGCTCAGAAGACCAAAAATCATATGTTCTCCCGTACTTTAGATCTAGGGCAAATACAGCAGTGTTGTTGGACTTGGGTCACATGACAAGGGGAGAGCACATACGGGAGGTATGGGGATAGGTAGT